TTTTTTTTTTGGAGAGGTTTTTGCTATAGGGTGCGTGCGCTCGCCAGAAAGACTGAGAGAGCGTTAAGACGTTGGACTCCACGTGGCTGTCTAGGCCGTTTGAGTCCCGGACCCCAGCAGCTTGAAAAACACGCCAGGCATGTGGGTGTGTGTGTGTGTGCATGTCCGAAATCTGGAGAGGAGAATGGAGAAGGGATTGCAAGGTGGCCATCCCCCTGGGAGGCGATTCCTTACTTTCCCTCTTTCTCTCTCCCTCTCTCTGGCGGGTGCACATGCCTTATAGCAAATAAATAAAAAGGAAGAGATTGAAAAGGATGTAAAAAGTCAGCTAATGAGGCTGGCCCCATAGTATAGTAAATGGAGTCCTGGCCCAGCAGTTTGAAGGACGTGTGTGTGTGCGTGTGTGTGCGCATGCCCCAAGTCCTGCTGGAAAGGAGAAATGGAGGAAGGATTCTGCCATGACCTCTCTCTCTAATGAGTGCATGAGCCCTCTGGTTAAAAAAGAAATCAGATAATGATACCACACCTCAATTTTCAGTATTTTATTTCTACATATAACAGTTGGTACAGAATTTCCTACATTGTACAGGTTCTGTGTCTAAAAATATGTAGCTGAGAACAGTGTCAACTACTTAAGGTAAAGGTTTTTTTTCTTTTCTTTTCTTTAATTTGCCAGCGGGCTCATACACTTGCTGGAGGGAGACAGAGAAGAAGAAAGAGAGAAAGTGGGAAAGCACCCCTCAATGAGGCATGGTCACACTGTGGTCTCTTCTTTATTTCTCTTTTTCTGTCAAGATTTTAGGCATACACATGACAGGTACGTTTTTCAAGCCACCAGGTCCAGGACTTGAACCACTCAGTTGACCACATGAGATCTGCCTTAACCATCATACCACTGGCTGACCCAAGGCAAGGTTTCCTTTGTTCTGTTTTGGTTTGCTACAGTGTACACACACTCGCTGGAGAGAGCCTGGCTGGGGGCCAGGGGAGGAGGGGAGTGAGAACGCATCCCCAGGAGGGATGGTAATCCTTCTCCATTCTCTTCTGGGAATTTTGGGCATGCATGCACACGTGCCCAGTGTGTTTTTCAGCTCTGGGACTCCAACAGTTCAGCTGGCCATGTGGGATCCAGCGCCATAACCTCCACACCCTATGCTTGCTCCCCAAGGCAAAGTCTTAAAATGAATAGTTCATCTACTGTTAGGCGATTTCTGTTGCTTTATACCAGGGAGCTCTTTAGATCCCAGAAGCTGACACTTCTCCCCCCACCCCACCCCCAAGTTTTGTCATTCATTGGCAGACCCATGCTGTGGTGTCTGTCATCTGAGAGTCCCTGCCAAGAGCAAACCTGAGAGCCACAGCTATGAGGTGGAGCCATCCACTGTGTCACCATCTGCAGTCCCCACGCGGGGAGTGGTGTTTAGATTCGGTCTGTCCTTCCTCTTGTCTGGTGAAAGAAAAGCAAGTCGCAGAGTTCTACGCTGTCTGTGACCTGACAAGGACTCACGGACTCGCTGCGGGTTCGAAGCGATCTCAGGCATCCACTGGCTCTCCGGCCTTCTCACTAAGGCAGCAAAGGAAACCTCCTTGCTACGGAGGTCTATGAGTAGGGCAAGAGCAGAGCTGCTCAGGAGGAAAGGGCAGCAGGCCTCTGGCCAGCCCTTTCGCGCAGCCTCAAGTAGCGTGGGCTTTTGTAAATGAGCTCGAAATGACTGATTTGCCCATGGTCTTACATTTCCCACTTAGAGCATGGATGCCCAGCCAAGTGAAGTGATTCATTTCTGTTCCCACTGGCCAGAAATAAATCTTAATTTCCTCCTTGCTTTCTTGTCTATTTATTTAATTTGCTATAGGGTATGTGTGCTTGCTGGAGAGAGACAGAGAGAGAAAGCATCTCCCCTCCCCACCCTGCCCAGAGAGGATGGCCATGCTGTAGGCCCTTCTCCTTTATTCTCCTCTTTGGATTTTGCCACGCACACACATGCACCTGGCGTGGTTTTCAAACAGCTGCATCTGGAATTCAAACCACACAGCTGGCCATGTGGTGTCTGGCTGCCTTAATCATCATGCCACCTGACTGGCCCAATTTTTTTTTTTAATTATTTTTCTTTTTTCCTTTTTAAAGCATTATTTATTTATTTATTATTTTTTGAAGCTTGCTATAGGCACACGTGCTCACCAGAGACAGACATAGAGGGAGAGGGTAAGTGAAAAAGCAAGCCACCAGGGAACCAGCAGTTAGCGTAATGGCTATGTCGCTGGACTCCCACGTAGTCAACCGCGGTTCGCGTCCCGGACCCGGTGGCTTAAAACTCATGCCAGGCGCGTGTGCGTGTGTGCCCAAGATCCCAAGAGGAGAATGGAGGAGAAGGGATTGCGGCGTGACCATATCCCCTGGGGGGTGATTTCTCACTTTCTGTCTCTAATTCTCTCTCTGTCTGTCAGGCAAGTGCACGCGCCCTATAGCAAAAATCTCCCCCCTACCAAAAAAAAAGAAAGCAAGCCACCAGGTCTGGGACTTGAACCATGGTTGGTCACGTGAGAGTCCAGCACCTTAACCAGTGCACTACTTGCTGCCCCACCCCCTTATTTATTTTTTAAAGCCAGAACCCTTACCACTATGTCCCACTGTTTTATTTTTAAATGTTGGCCGACAGTAAGTCAAAATGTGCTCCTTAATGAATCTTTTCATTTCTTGGGAAATAAACCGTCACATATTTACTTGGATTTCTAAAAAGCAGAACACACTCGTGTGTGGCCACGACAAGGCACTGGACATTATACAAAGAACTAAAAAAAAAAAGGCACAAGACAGGAAAAGAGGGAGGGAGACACATCTGTGTGGCAGGTGACCTGGACACCCTCTGCACCTCCCGGGTGGCTGGGATCGCAGACGTGCACCACCATGTCTGGCCTGGCCAGCCAGGTCCAGGAGCCAAACCCGGGCCTCCCATGTGGCTGAGCCTTGTGATGAAACCCTCCTGCCGGCACGTCTGCAGCTGGGCCTCCAGACACGTTTATCCCCGTGACCACTTCCCACTGGAACGGCCAATTCATCCCATTGTACAGAATACACATTTGATATTCAGAAACGACTGCTTTTTAGAAGACTGCAGGATGAACCAAGCGATCCCTTCAGTTCCTTCAGGAAATTTTATTTAGAATTTCTGGAAGGGCACTTGAGCAGCTTTGAGTCATGTCCATCTCTGGAGAATGCTTCTCCCAGTTCAGAAGCCTCTCATTTTTCTTTATCGTAGTTCCACTGGAATTATTCAGCCCACAAAGGCATCAATTGTTTCACAGAGAGTCATTTTGTCCTTTCTTCCTTCTGGTAAACCCGCCACCCCTCCTGGCCTCCGCTGGAGGAGTTCCTGGGATATTAGCACCTGCCCGCCGTGCTAAGTGACCACGGTTGTACTTTGTTGAGAGAGCAGGGACCAAATCATTGGCTTTTCCAGGAGAAAAATGGAGGGCTATTTTTTAATAATTTAATTTTATTAATTATTACTATTTTCAAAAATTTGCAAAAGGGCACATGTGAGGAAGTGAGAAAGCAAACCGCCAGATCCAGAACTCAAACTGCAGTCAGCCATATGAGAGTCCAGCACCTTAACGACCGCACCACCTGCTGGCCCCCCAAAATGGAGGTTCTGAATGCAGTGTGTTCATACACATCGTCGAGGACAAGGACTCTCATCCGTTCATTCATCTGGCCATTCATTCACTGAAGGGCTTACTGGCCCAGCGGCACGAGGAAGCAGGAAGTGATGGTGAAAACGCCGGTTCCCAGGGGCCGCACCTCGGGGCAGAGCAGTAGGGTCCGGAGCACACCAGCTCCAGCTCGCTGGAGGACACTCTAGGATACCAGGGACGGTGGGGGAAGGCTCCAGGCAGACCAAGCTGGACTCTGGGAAGTGGCCTCTGTCTGCAGGTGGGGTGGGAAGACAGCAGACCAGCAGAGGGGGTGGCAGCGAGAACTGAAGACACCGGGGCGAGCAGTGGGCCAGTCCTGGCTCCCAGGTGTGCAGAGAGCCAGGCCTGGCGATACGGCTGCGCTCAGGGGACTGAACGGCAGGCTGAGGAGTTTGTGCCCCTGGGAACTACTGAGATCGTCATCAGGAAATGGCAGGTTCGGGAGGGGGGCCCTGTAGGCTTCGAGAACAGAAGGGACTTCCCTGACCAGCTGAGGAGGGGCGAAGAAGGCCAGGACCAGGGTGCCTGCAGCGCAGGTGGTAGCCCAGGAGGCCATGGGAGCCATGAGGGAGGAAGAATGAAAGTCGAGAAGGACCAGCAATGTATGTCCCTGTGGGTGATTCTCTTATTTCAAAATGGTTTTGGTGCCCTTGACTGAACTGGTGGGAAGGTTGAGTTTGGTTTCGAATGTGTCGACTAACACATTAAATCTTACGTCTCCTGTGCACTTAGAAGAAAGCTACGGTTAAAACAGGAGCAGTTAGGAGCCAGTCCTATAGCCTCTTGGTTAAGAGAGCCGCATCCCACATGACAAACTGGTTCGAATCTCAGCCTGGGTGGCTTAAAAAACACCTTGGGTACGTGTGTGTGCCCAGCATTCTGACAGGATAGTGACACAGAGAGAAGGGATTGAGCACGGCCATGCCCCATTGTGGTGCTTTCTCCTTCTTTTTGCTCTCTGGTGAGTACCCTTGGGCAATTAAGAAAAAAACAGGGGCAATTTCTAGGAGACTATCCTGAGAAAGGGGTACATCAGGGCACAGAGAGCTGAAGGGTTTTTGCAGTCAGCCTGGCCGTATTTGGACCCCCGTCTTTGCCTGCCTTCTCCTTTAAAACAAACTGAAGCTTGGGCCAGTGGGTGGCATGGGGATTAAGGCACTGAATCCCCAGGAGCTGGGTGTGGGAGGAGAGTCTTACACTTGGAGAATGGAGGAGAAGGGATTGCATGGCCATCCTCACGTGGGGGCGCTTTCTCACTTTCCTCCTCCCTCTCTTCTCACCTGGGGGCACTTTCTCACTTTCCTCCTCCCTCTCTTGTCTCTTTCTGGCAAGCGTGCAAGCCCTACAGCAAAACCTAAAAATAAAACCAATAAAAAACAAGTCACTGGAGCTTAAAGGTGAAAACGACTTGAAAATGAAGGAAGTTGCTTTAGCAATACTCCCCTCCCACTGCATCCCTAAACTGGTGGTGCCTGCCCTTCACGGGCTGCGATGCCAAGTGTCACGCTTGCAGGCCCTTGGGCTCATCCGGGGTCAGCTTCATCAGCTTGTTCACACACAGCAGGATGAGGGTGAGAAACCAGAGACTCCAGCCAACGGCCGCCGCGATCCAGCCGTACTCGTCCACTCCGATGTGGCAGCACCGGGTAGCCAGCGGGCAGAAGTCCACATCTGGTGGGGAAGGGACAGTGAGAGCCACAGCGTGCATTCCCCCATCCCGCCCACCTCTTCCTTGACACTAACAATGACAAGAGCAACTGCTTTAGTGCAGCATTGAAGTGCTGCACAGAGAAGCCAATCCCACATGGAGGACCAGGGTTCAAGTCCTGGCCCTGGCGGCAGGAAAAACACGCCAGGTGTGCATGTATGCCCCGGGTCCTGGCGAGATGGAGAAGTGAAAGGAAAAGGACTGTGGTATAACCCGCCCTGTGAGGCTGTGCACGCTCTCCTACTCTCCCCCTGCACATAGGTGTGGATGCACCCTCTGGCATAAGGGAAAAAAATAACAAAAAACAGTAATATGTTAGCTAACATTTATAAACACTGTGTGCTGTGATTTTATATATGATTTATCCTCAAAAAGTGATGGGTACAATTCTTTTTTTTAAATTTTGCTATAAGGCACATGTGCTTGCCAGACAGAGACAGAGTGAGGGAGACAGAGAAAGTGAGAAAGTGCCCCCCAGGGAAGATGGCCGTGCCACAATCCCTTCTCCATTGTCCTTTCAGGATTTTGGACACGCATGCACAGGCACTTGGTATGCTTTTCAAGCCTTGGGTCTAGGACTTGAACTACACAGGGGCTACGTGAGATCCAGTGCCTTAACCACCACACCACCGGCTGGCCAGATAGACATCATTTTTTTTTTTTTTTAATTTGCTGTAGGGGGTACTAGCAGATGGCTTAGTAGTTATGGCACTGGGGCCCCACATGGCCAGCTGTGGTTTGAGTCCCAGGCCTAGTGGCTTGAAAATCATGCCAGGTGTTTGTGCATATATACCCAAAATCCCTGGAAGAGAAAGGATTGTGGAGTGGCCATTCCCCAGGGGCAGGACTCCAAAGCTAATGTGATTTCTCACGTTCCCTCACACTGTCTCTCTCTGGTTAGGACATGTGCCTAATGGCAAAAACCTTAAAAAAAATTGCTATACGTATGTGCACTTGCCAGAGAGAGAGAGAGAGTAAGAGAGAGAGTGGGAAACACCTGCCAGCGGGACAGCCACATCGCAATCCCCTCTCCTCCCTTCTCTTGGAATTTGGGCATGCGTGCACATGTACTTAGTGCATTTTTCTTCCTTCCTTCTTTCCTTCCTTTCTTTCTTCTTTCTTTTATTTACTTTGCTATAGGATGCATGTGCTTGCTGCAGAGAGCGGGAGAGCGAGAAAGTAAGAAAGCAGCCCCCCAGGAGAAGTGGCCGCAGTATAATCCCTTCTCCCCTATTCTTAAGACTTGGGGCGCACACCTACATGTGCCTAGCCTGTTTTTCAGCTGCCAGGTCTGGGACTCAACTCTCTGTGTCGGTCATGTAGGATCCGGCAGCCTTAACCACCGCACTACCAGGTGGCCCTATAGGTACAATTTTTATTCCTGTTTTACATGAAGAAATAGAGGCTGTAACTTGCCCAAGGTCACAAGATGGTGGGACTTGAGTGCAAACCCAAGTCTGCAGGACTCCAAAGCTAATAACCTCCCCGGTACTCTTGCCTATCACCCTGCTTTGTAAAGACCAGAAGTAAACATATCTGGTCGTTCAGTGAGGGCTGGATCGAGGGAGCTGGACTTAAAGATGAATTTCCATTAGGACATGTGTAGCCGTGGCTGTCGCATGAATTACTGAGCTCCCGGCTGCTGGAAGTAGCCAAGTAGGGGCTGAAACGAAGTATGACGGGCACCAAACCACACTTCCTCACTGAGCAGAAGTTGGACTAGCTGCACGCGATGGCCTCTCCGCCTCCAAACTTCTGCACGCGTTTGAATCCAGGGTGTTTTGGGGAGTTGACTTGGGAACGGGTCATTAAAGCTACTCATGCCAAAGACTGTGAGCCTAGATGGAGAAAGCTTTTTAAATTTTTTTTTGGAGAGGTTTTCGCTATAGGGCGCATGCGCTTGCCCGACAGAGAGACAGAAAGCGAGAAACCCCGCCCCCCCCCGCCCCCCCCCGGGGGGGGGGGATGGTCACGCCGCAATCCCTTCTCCTCATTCTCCTCTCGGGATCTTGGGCACACATGCACAGGCGGTGAGTTTTAGGCCACCGGGTTCGGGACGCAAACCGCGGTCAACTACGTGGGAGTCCAGTGACATAGCCATTACGCTAACTGCTGGTTCCCGAGACAGCTTTTCAGACCTGCTCTGCAAACGGTTCTGGGACAAACCACGCCAGCACCCAGGAAGGCCAGGCGGGCACTCGGCCGCCTGAGGCCAATAGACAGAAGGCAAGGGGTTTAAATTTCTCCCCCAGGTTCAGGGCCAGCTCTAGGGTTTAGCAACGGCAGGAGAAGCTTACTGGGGCACTGCTCCAGGGTCATGGCATCTGGGTGGACGGTTGCCAAGGCTGAGTTGTTGCTGCTGCTCGTTTCTGGAAGAAAAGGCAGGAGACAGTCTCAGGTAGTAGGACAAGCCATCCCCAGACATAGAGTTTGAAATAATTTTTGTGAGGTCAGCAGGTTGAGTAAGGCATTGGATTCCCACATAGCTAACCATGGTTCAAGTCCTGGACCCACTGACTTGAAAATCACGCTGGGTTGGGGCCAGCATATAGCATAGTGGTTATGTTTTTGGACGCCTCCCACATTGCCGACCACAGTTTGAATCCCAGACCAGGTGGCTTGAAACTCATGCTGGACCCATGTGCGTGCGCGCCCGCCCAAGATCCCAGGAGGAAAATGGAGGAGAAGGGATTGTGATGTGGCCATCCCCCCATAGGGCGATTTCTCACTTTCTGTCTTTCTGTCCCTCTGGCAAGCCCACTGGACCTATGGCAAAAAAACAAACAAACAAACAAACAAACAAAAACTCTCCAGAAAATAAAGAAAAGAAAAAAATCACGCCACGTATGTGTGCATGAGAGCCCAAAATCCTAAAAGGAGGGGGAAGAGGAAGGGATTGCAGGGAAACCATCCCTCTAGGGGAGGGTGATTTCTCAGTTTTCTTCTCTGAAAAAAAAAAAAAAAAGATAAGTCAGTAGTGAGTTCTATAAGTGTTACAGACGTCCCAGTGGAAGCATACAAGTGTGTGCAAAGCCGACTCCCTGCATGGACTACACTGTGTTGTTCCCCGCCCTCCCCCACCCAATGTGCTGTACTTGGAGGCTGGACCTTTAAGGAGGTAATTAGGGGTGAATGAGGTCATGTGGGTGGGCCCCTAATCCAGTCTGACTGTTCCCCTTGTAAGAGGGAGACACCAGCAGTGCACGTGCACAGAGGAGAGCCCGCACGTGCAGAGCAGGCGGCAGGCAGCCTTCCGCCAGCTGAGGAGAAAAGCAAACCTGCCCACACCTTAGCCTTAGGCTTCTGCCTCCAGAACTATGAGAAGATAAACGCGTTGTGTTTCTTTCTTTAATTCTGCCAGAGGGTGCATGTACTCACTGGAGACAGAGAGGGAAAGGGAGAAATCAGCCCCCAGGGTTGATGGCCACACTGCAACCCCTTCTCCTCTGTTTCCCGCTCAGGATTTTGAGCACGCACATGCACTTGGCATGGCTTTCAAGCTGCTGGATCCAGGACTTGAACCATGCAGTTGGCTGTGTGGGATCCAGTCACTTTAACCACCACGCTGCTCATGGGCCTGTCAATTCGTGGTTTAAGCAGTCCTGGCAGCCATGGAGCCAGCAGGTGGCATGGTGGTTAAGGGCACTGAACTCCCACATGGTCAACTGCAGTTCAAGTCCTGGACCTGGTGGTTTGCTTTCTCACTTTCTCTCTCTCTCTCTAACTCAGTCTCTCTTAAATTAAAATATAAATAAGTGGGTAAGTAAATAAAATAATTTTTTGAGAGGTTTTTGCCATAGGGCACATGTGCTCACCTGAAAGCCAGAGACAGAAAGAGAGAAATCACCCCCCAGGGGGAATGGGCACACTGCCAATCCCTTCTCCTCTATTCTCCTCTTGGGATCTTGGGCACACACACACACATGCCCAGCATGAGTTCAAGCCACCGGGTCTGGGACTCGAACCATGTTTGATTACATGGGAGTCCAGCCACATAGTCATTATGGCAACTGCTAGTCCTAATAAAATAATTCTAAAAAAAAAAAAAAAGTAGTCCTGGCAGCCCGAACCGGCAGGTGCACTCCCCTTTTGCCTTCACTCGTCCTCATTCGGAGATGCACTGTCTTCCGTTCTCACTGCCCTTCAGTGCTCAAGGCCTGCTGTGATGGCTCCGAACCCTCTGTGAGCTGCTTTCCACGCACAAAAGGCTTTTCCAGTATATATGAAAACAATCACTGAAATTTTGAAATGTGTTTTTTAAGTTCACCTTTTTCTTTCTCCCATGAGCATGCATAAATGAGACAGGACCCCCCACAGAGCCTTCACACCTCGACCCACCCCCAGCCTCTGCCAGCCCCATCACAGGCACGCGCACACCCGGCGTGTGCAGGGAGGTCTCGAACCCGGAACCTTACGTGGGTCAGGCTCCCAGAGTGTCATGTTACTACTGCGCCACTATCTGGCCCTGAGATGTTTTTCATAGCTATCTTCAATTTCCTTAAAAACTTGAACAAATAAACATCGAAACCTGATCTTGATTCTTTATTTCCAAGGGTTTTGATGCTGTTACCCAGGCAGTGGTTGTCCAAAAAGTTGAACAAGTCCAGAGACTGCTGAGATAGGCAGCACTTAGACTTGTTCCCTGGTGAATAAGCAAGGAACAGAAAGATAACAAGAACTTTAGCAGAAATTCCTGAAGTTCTGCGAGTTTGGGAGTGGGGCTAGGCAAAGGGGAGGAACATAAAGATCCCTGAAGAAAAGCCATTTTCTGTGCCCCTTCAGTCACTCAGGGCCATCGATGACCTAGGTCCACGCAGTCCACTACGGCAGCCACTAGCCACTGGTGGCCTTTTAAATGAAAATTAAATTAAGTGGGAGCTGGCAGGTGGCGTGGTGGTTAAGGGCGCTGGACTCCCACATGGCCAACGGCCAGACCTGGCGGCTTGCTTTCTCACTTCCCTCCTCTCTCTCATACTCTGTCCCTCTCTGGTCAAGTTAAAAGAGATAAATAAAGTAAAGTTCAATAAAGTACTTCTAAAAAAATTAAATTAAGTTGAAAATGCATGTCCAGCCTCAGTGGCACAGCTGACAGGACACTGCTGCTCCCTTTGCACCTGTGCACGCCCACGGCCCTGGCTGGGGGAGGATTGTAGCAAAGCGAGACTCTGTCAGGGTACCTGTCCTTCTCTCTCTCTCATGAAATAAAGAAATCAACTTTAAAAAAGTATTCAGGGACCAGCATGGTTACATCACTGGACTCCCACTTAGCTGATGGCGGTTCCAGTCCTGGACCTGGTAGCTTAAACTCACCTTGGGTGCATGTGCGTGTGTGCCCGAGATCCCAGTGGAGAATGGAGGAGAAGAGATTGCGGCGTGGCCAGAAATCACCCGGGGGAAGATTTCTCGCTTTCTGTCTCTCTGTCTCTCCCATAAGTGCACGTGCCATAGCAAAAATCTCTCTTACAAGAAAAAAAAAATTCAGGGAGCCAGCAGGAGGTGTAGTAATTAAGACACTGGACTTCCATGTGGTAACTGCAGTTCGAGTCCCAGACCTGGCAGCTTGAAACTCACACCAGGTGCATATGCGTGCATGCCCAAAATCCCCAGAGGAGAATAGAGGAAAAGGGAGTGCGGGGTGGCCATCCCCCCTGGGGGGGTGATTTCTCGTTTTCTGTCTCTCTGTCTCTCTGGCAAACACATGTGCCCTATAGCAAAAATGTCTTTAAAAATATATTCAGAAGCTAGTAAGTGGTGTGGTGGTTGGGGCACTGGACTCCCCACATGGCTGATGGTGGTTCAAGTCCCAGACCTGGCGGCTTGCTTTCTCACCTTCCCTCTCTCTGTCTCACTGTGGCGAGCACATGTTCCCTATAGCAAATTCAAAAATAATTATAAATAATGATTAATAATATTTTTCTTTTTTAAAGAGAGGAAAAAATAATTTAATTGCACTTTGGGGCCAGCAGGGGGCATGGTATTTAAGGCAGCTGGATCTTACATGGCTGATTATGGCTTTGAGATTTTTGCATGCCCCAAATCCTGAGAGCAGAAATGAAAGAGAAGGGTTTGTGGTGTGGCCATCCCTCCTCAGGAGTGATTTCTCACTTTTCTCTTTCTCTCTCTGTCTCTCTCTGGCAAGCACAGATGCCCTATAGCATAAAAAATAATAATAATAAATCTGCCTCCTGGTCACATTAGCCCCATTGTAATTGTTCAATTTTCATATGTGGACACCAGCTACCGTATTAGAAGCACAAGAGCGATACGGAACATTCCGGTCATCAAAGAAAGTTCTCTCAGCACTAATGCCATCATCTAGGTGGATCAAAAGCAAGACATTGATTTTGGAGAACCTTTCTGGAATTACGTTGCTATTCAATCTGCTTATCTGGAAGTGGAAAAAAAAGTAGGTTTGAAAACTCTCCAGGCCCACCGAAGATAGGTCAGCGTGTCCTTCAGAGGCGCCTGTGGCCACAGAGCAGGACAGCTAGAAGTCTGTTGTTTAGCCAGAGCCATGAAATTGCTGCCCAGACTGACTTTATGCCCCCTTCCCCCAGAGCCACTCCAACGTCCAACTCCAAGAGCGGCCATTACCTTGATGCAATCTGCGACTGTGAATTATTTACAGCTCAGTGGCTTACAGCTTGGTCTTTATTTGTCCTGGAAAACTTGATTCCTCAACATTTTAATTTTCTTTTTAACCCAGACAACTTCCTTGGCCCCGACTTTCTTTATTCTTTTTCTTTTCTTTTCTTTCTTTTTTTTCTTTTGAGAGAGGTTTTTGCTACAGGGTGTGTGCACTTGCTGGAAAGAGAGAGAGAGACAGAGAGACAGAAAGCGAGAAGTCATTCCCCAGGGGGGGCTGGCCATGTCGCGGCCCCTTCTCCATTCTCCTCTTGGGATTTCGGGCGCGGTCCCTTCTCCATTCTCCTCTTGGGATTTCGGGCATGCATGCACACGTGCCCAGTGTGAGTTTTAAGCCACTGGGTCCAGGACTCGAACCGAGGTCGACTACATGGGAGTCCAGCGACATAACCATTACAGCATCTGCTGGTCCCTTGGCTCCTCTACACTCAGAATGGACATGGTCTTCCTCCAGAGCAAGCAGCGGTAAACTGCTGAAACCACGTGAAGTTGCCATTCGTCTGGGACAAAGATCATTCAGTAGCAGGCTCGTGTGTGGTTCGGCCAGAACGGGCCAGGTGAAAATTCCCCACAGTTTAGAGTTCGTCCCCCCTCCTTGCGATGGGGGGCAGTCAGGGACTAACATTTGCAATCACTTCCAAAGTAAGGGCTCCTGGACGGCCTGACAATTCAGTGCAGCTAAAACGGTCAGTATTTTGGAGCCCTGTTAAAAGGAAGGCATTTTGAGACTACCCAGGATGGGACCGCCGCTCTTATTTGGAGGCATGCGCTGACAAAACCGCTCGAGCGTGTTTACTGTGTGCGGTGCAGTCACCGTTTCCTCTTCCCACAGCTCCGTCAATAAGCACCCTGATTATCCCTACGTTATAGGTGAGGAAACCGGAGCACAGAGAGGTCACGATTTCCTCAAGGTCACACAGCTCCTAAGATGTAGAAGTCAGAGCCGGGTTGAGATACTGGGGCTTTCAGAGGCCACACTCTGAGGCCGCCACATGGAGTCTCTGGCGTGGCGACAGGAGACTCAGGATTGGAGAGACAGCAGCAGCCCCAGGGGAGAGGGGAGCAGGTTTGGGTCTGGAGTGGTGGGGCACATGCCAGAGTGCAGGGCAGGCGGTGCCCTGAGGGTGCCCATGGCAAGAGCACAGCTGGAAGCGAAGCCAAAAGCTGGAGCAGGTAGAGGTTCCCTCTGGTCCTTCTGCCATGAGGGCAGGGCCCCGCCTGGGGGATCCAGGCCTTATGAGAAAACGGGTGACAGCCCGATATTCCTGGTGCCCGGAGGAGGCGAGAGAGTGGTAGACAGCCAATGGCAACGTTCCTGGCATTCGGTTCTGTGAAAGCACCAGGACAGGGCCAGAGGGCCAGAGGGCCAGAGCACCCCAGGTGAGGAAAGTTAGGCACGACAGAGGGCGGATTATTAGACCGCGGCACCCAGGGGAGCTGGGCAGCCGCACACCCAGAGAGGTCCTTTGAGACCAGTTTGGTCCCTGGTGGGTGAGCCCCTGGCAAATTGCTTATTGCTTTCCCCTCTTTTTCCATCACAAAGGCCGACACAAGTGACTGCTGCTGTCCTGGCTGAGGAGTTGAGAACCTGATCTTGGTCTCTGGCAAAGCCTAGACGGCCCCCCACCCCCCATCTCGACGTGCTGCGGCTGCCTGATCCTTCAGATGAGAAAGTGCCGTTTCCTCTTTGTGAGGGACCAACCCTGGTCGAGGAATCCTCGCCCTCCTCCTCCCTCCCCTCCCTCTTTCTGCCCCCTCCCTGCGTGACCAAGAACACAGCTCACACTCCTACCTGCCCAGCAAGCCGAGTGGAAGGAGGCGAAGACCAGGCTGAGGAGCAGGGCGGCCCAGGTGGCAGACGGGAGGCACTGCCTCCCCGCCAGGGCGGCATCTGTTTGGACGGTCCCGGTGGAGCTGTGCTGAGGGCTGAGTGCCATGTGTGGCGTGTCTGCGCTGTGAGGTGACTCCTGTCCTGCAGGAGCTGGAGAGCGACTCTGCTAGAGGTGAACTTCTGCTCTGTGTTGGGGGAATAGAAGGGGTGGAGCAAAGGCAGCCTGGCCTGTCACACCCCTCTTACCTCTGCATAGGGAGCCAGCTGCACTGGCTGAGGGAGGAGAGGCAATTTAGGTTCTTTGCGGTTACATGTTGTCCCTACTGAGAAGAAAGACAGGGGAGGAGAGGGGACGTGGGTCCTGCTGGTTCCTTGGAATGGGTTTGCTGCCCTTCCATCGGCAGTATAGCGTGGGTCCTCTGCTCCATTTTGCTCAGTATTGATTGAATGCCTGCTGTGTGTACTTCACTGTGCTGAAGTTTGGGACTATCTTTCCTCAGAATGCTTCTGTTACAAACGCACATTATTAAAGCCCAGAGCAGTGTTTCAGGAGTGACTAAGGAAGGACGTAGTAGCTTGAGTCTCAACAGCAAGAGGCTTCACCTGCCGATGGAGTGCTCTATGGAGAAAACGGCATTTGAGTTGGGCCTTGAAGGAAGGTAGAATTTTTTTTAAAGAATTATCATTTATTCATTTATTTATTTAATTGCATTTGTTATTATTTCTTTCAATTTCACCTGAGAGAGAGAGAAAGGGAAAATGAGAAAGCAAGTCACCAAATCTGGGACTCAAACCACAGTTGGCCATGTGGGAATCCAGCACCCTTAACCACCATGCCACCTGCCAGTCCCAGGATAGAATTTTGACAGGTAGGGAGAAGAGGGCATTGAAGGTAGAAAAGACAAGTGAACAAAGGTCAGAGGTGAGGTGGTGCTCAGAGGTCCACTGTGACCACTGTACTGATTCATGTAAGTGCCCATGGGAGGGTTAGGTGGGGAGTGGAGGGAAGAGTCGTGAAGAGTCAGGAGGCTGGGCTTCTGGGTGCCAGGCTGGGGAGTTGGGAAAAAAGCCAGAAAGCAAGAAGGGGATGCTTTGTGAAGATTATTTTTAAGAATATTTTTTAAAATTTTAGCTTTATTTTATTTATTTATTTTTAATTTGACAAGAGAGAGAGAAAGTGAGAAGACAAGCCGCCAGGTCCAGGACTCAAACTGCGGTCAGCCATTTAGGAGTCCAACACCCTTAACCACCATGCCACCTGTCAGCTCCTTTGGAAGAGTTTGAGCTGAGAATTAACTGAGTTTGAGCTCTGGCCTTTGGTTTTAAATATTTATTAAATATCTACCATGTGTATAAAAAGCATCATTCTAGGCATCTGAGACTCACAGATGACTAAGATATGGTACCTGCCCTTAAGGAGAGCACAATTCAGCAATGACTAAGCAGTGAAAAAAATTGCAAGGCAATATAGCAATACTTAAGATATTGGTCTCTTCCACAGTTATAGGAATATAAAAGAGGGAGTGATTAAATCTGCTGGAGAGGTACAGAGGAAGGATGTTCACAGAGGAAATGACATTTGAGCTGGGTATTAAAGTTTGTACAAGGGATCATCCAAAAATTCACTGAACACATGTATTATGAGAACACTATGCATGGATTTAAATTTTTTTACACAAAAATACTCATTTTAATTTCATTTTTTCACAAACTTTTTCAATTCCCTTGTATGTGCAGATGGGAGTTGACAAGCTTTTCAAGTAAAAGGAATCGCACATACAAAGGCAAGAGCATTGTCTGTGTTCATGCAGGCCTGTCAGGTGTGGATATGTGCATTGTGTTCCTGCATAGGCAGGGCCTGGTGAGAGAGAGAGGATGGAATCTAGCTCATTCAAAGCTGTGTGGAAGGGTAGGCAAGCTAGGTATAAACCTAGAGTAAGGACTCCTATAGTAGTTACAGTAGGAAAGCAGCCCAGAGGAGGCACTGTGGGATTTTTTTTTTTTTTAAGGTTTTTGCCATAGGGTGCGTGTGCACAACAGAAAGAAGGGAAGTGAGAAATCACCCCCCCAGGGGGGTGGCCATGCTGCAGTTCCTTCTCCAGTCTCCTCTTGGGATTTTGGTTATGCACGCACACACTCCTAGCATGATTTTCAAGCCGCTTGGTCTGGGACTCAAATTGTGGTCCGCCATGTGGGAGTCAAATGCCTTAACTACCACAGCACTTGCGTACCCCAAGGAGGCATTTTTTTCTAACCCAGAGGTCCAAATTAATAATGGGTCTTTATTTTGGGTTTGGGAATGGAGTAGAAATGCATTAGGAAGGCTTGTTTTCAGGCAGTGTATAAAAGTCTAGTTTAGCACAAACCTCTGGTTGCACATTCAATGATTACCAAGTAGTTGCTGTATGCTAGGACCCTGGTATGGGGCTTTCCAGTTGAGTAAGACAACATAGCCCTCATCCTCAAGGTTAGCAAGGAGGATGGACAAATAAATACCAACTGCAATGAAAGATGTGTGTTGAGAAAGTCTCTGCACAGAATGAGAAAAATCACGGAAGAGGGATGGAATCTAGAGGATTCCAAAGACACTTTACCATGGAGATGGTATTCTGACCTGAAACTTAAAACACAAGGCACAAGAGAAGGGAACAGTCATGCAGGGCCTCTGAGGCATGAACACGTGCCCCGTGTTTGGGGACTAATGAGTAATTTACTGTCTCAGGAGCATGAGATGGGGCCACAGTGTGTCTGCTTACACTAAGAACAGACTGTAAATAGTCCAAGTGGCAGACAAAGAAAACTAATGATTGGGCACCATCTCTAAGATCCTTATAGGTGTGGACGTATTCGCATTTCAGAAATGCGGGGTAGATCTGAGAACAGACCTGGATTCAGGGTGATCACTAACAAGCCATTGTAACGTCCTGCCAGAGATCACACAGGTCCTGAGATGGGAAGTTGCCCTGAGGATGGAGAACAGGGGAATAGGATCAAGGAGGAGGCCAGGTCAACAGAAGGCGATCCAGAAAAAGGCACGAGGAGGAAGGCACAGTTCTAGCTGGGGTAGGTGGGTGGCCACAGGGTCAGCTGGGTTCAAATTGCAGCCTCTCTTCTTGTTGGCTTGGTGGGGGTGGGCCCCTGTGGGATTTTTTTTTTTTTTAAGGTTTTTGCCATAGGGTGCGTGTGCACAACAGAAAGAAGGGAAGTGAGAAATCACCCCCCCAGGGGGGTGGCCATGCTGCAGTTCCTTCTCCAGTCTCCTCTTGGGATTTTGGTTATGCACGCACACACTCCTAGCATGATTTTCAAGCCGCTTGGTCTGGGACTCAAATTGTGGTCCGCCATGTGGGAGTCAAATGCCTTAACTACCACAGCACTTGCGTACCCCAAGGAGGCATTTTTTTCTAACCCAGAGGTCCAAATTAATAATGGGTCTTTATTTTGGGTTTGGGAATGGAGTAGAAATGCATTAGGAAGGCTTGTTTTCAGGCAGTGTATAAAAGTCTAGTTTAGCACAAACCTCTGGTTGCACATTCAATGATTACCAAGTAGTTGCTGTATGCTAGGACCCTGGTATGGGGCTTTCCAGTTGAGTAAGACAACATAGCCCTCATCCTCAAGGTTAGCAAGGAGGATGGACAAATAAATACCAACTGCAATGAAAGATGTGTGTTGAGAAAGTCTCTGCACAGAATGAGAAAAATCACGGAAGAGGGATGGAATCTAGAGGATTCCAAAGACACTTTACCATGGAGATGGTATTCTGACCTGAAACTTAAAACACAAGGCACAAGAGAAGGGAACAGTCATGCAGGGCCTCTGAGGCATGAACACGTGCCCCGTGTTTGGGGACTAATGAGTAATTTACTGTCTCAGGAGCATGAGATGGGGCCACAGTGTGTCTGCTTACACTAAGAACAGACTGTAAATAGTCCAAGTGGCAGACAAAGAAAACTAATGATTGGGCACCATCTCTAAGATCCTTATAGGTGTGGACGTATTCGCATTTCAGAAATGCGGGGTAGATCTGAGAACAGACCTGGATTCAGGGTGATCACTAACAAGCCATTGTAACGTCCTGCCAGAGATCACACAGGTCCTGAGATGGGAAGTTGCCCTGAGGATGGAGAACAGGGGAATAGGATCAAGGAGGAGGCCAGGTCAACAGAAGGCGATCCAGAAAAAGGCACGAGGAGGAAGGCACAGTTCTAGCTGGGGTAGGTGGGTGGCCACAGGGTCAGCTGGGTTCAAATTGCAGCCTCTCTTCTTGTTGGCTTGGTGGCGCTGGCCCAGCCACTTAATTCAGGTCTCAGTTTTCTTATTTGAAAAGTAACAATACAACAGCACCTATCTCGAGTTCTGATGACTTGGGGACCAGCAATTGGCATAATGGCTATGTTGCTGGACTTCTATGTAGCCGACCGCAATTCGAGTCCTGGACCCGGTGGCTGAAACTCACACTGGGCGTGTGTGCGTGCGTGCCCAAGATCCCGAGAGGAGAATGGAGGAGAAGGGATTGTGGCATGGCCATCCCTCATGGGGGTTGATTTCTTGCTTTCTGTCTCTCTCTCTGTCTTTCTGGCAAGTGCACACACCCTATAACAAAAAACTCTCAAAAAAAAAAAAAAAAAAAAAAAAAAAAAAGGAGCTGTGATGACTTGAAGTAGTCCATGAAGAGCACTGGCACAGTGCGAGGAGATGGTTAGCCCCTAGTAAATGTCAACTACTATTAAAGAATAATGATAATAATAATGCTATCATTGTATTGATTTTGTTTGTTTTGTAATTTTGTGATAGGGCATGTGCACTCACCAGAGAGAGAAAAAGAGAGAGAGGGAAAGTGAGAAAGCATCCCCCCTGGGGGGATGACCACTCTGCTGTCTCTTCTCCTCCATTTTCCTCTCAGGATTTTTGGGCACACACGCACACACACCCTGTGTGTTTTTCAAGCCACAGGGTTCAAGGCTCAAACTGTCCACTTGGCCATGTGGGATCCAGTCACCTTAACCTCCATGACATTGGCTAACCCCTGTATTGATTTATGTATATCCTGCCTAGTCCAGGCAGGGCTTAAAGAAACTTATTTACAATTAATTGAGCTAGATAAAGTAAATTAAAACAAACGAGAAGAAATGAGGGCAGGAAATATCAGTTGGGCCCATGAGGGAATCA